TAGTAGGAGAATATCAGAGCCTTTGATTTATTCATCCAGGATATCCTGCGTACCTACGTACTACAAGGAAAGCAATACGCCTACCGCTATTGTCAGGAACAAGAACACCGAGGAACCAAGGGCCAAGTATTCAGGATCAAAACCCAGCCTCCGCACATGACCTCTCCGCCCTGATTAGGTTCACCACTACATATCATGAAGCGTTGTCGTCGTGCTCCGTCATCCCTGACTTCAGCCGGCCGAGACCCCCGGGCTCCGCAAGTAACTAGCCCTCAACAACGAAGTGACAGTCATTTACCACCCCGCCGTTGACCTCCGGCACCAGATCCTGCGGACAACAGCTCATGACGATAATGCAATCGACCAGTGCTTCGAATGCGACTTGGCCTCCTTTCTCGCATACCGTCGGCTGGAAACTCAAAGCCCCGCCGGCGGAACTGTTGCTCTCATGCAGCGGCTGGGGAAGAGGAGAGACGGGGATGTTCATGAACAGGTTCAGCGGGTCTGGCACGGTCGATGTCGGCGTCTTGAACGGCGCTGGGAGGGTGTAGCCCGGGGTGTCGCGAGACAGGGCCATGCGTAGATTGTCGGAGCAATTGGCATGGTATTGATCTTGGGCAACCCCCAGCTGGTGGTATCGGTGGATGTCGCACGCCGGGATCAGGGTGTCGTGGATACATCCCGAGCTGTCACTGATGAACTTGAGGATTGGAGTGCGCTGGTTCGTCGACAGTGTGCACGGCGCAATGGGGCTCAGGCTGAGCAGCGAGGCCCGCGTGTGTGGCATGGACAGATAGGTCGTCAACTCCTGTTTGGTAGCGGCGGCACTCGATGGAGCGCCGAGAGGGACTTCGAACGCCCAAAAGTCGATCACCTGGGTGCCATGGGTGTTTGTGACGGTCAGCTTCTGCGAGGGAGACAGAGGGACGGCCACGGATGAGCGGGCAGGTACGGTGTGGGTAGTGTTGGGGGCATAGGGGGTTGGAAGCGACATTGTGGTTGAAATAGAGGGAATAGGAGAGCTGGAGTGAGGATATCGACTAGCTATTCGATGGGAGAGTTGGAACAGATGGGTTGCAGCTTGGTTATATTAGAATTGTCACGTCTAAGAGTGAGAGGGCTCAGAGGCCTTTCTCTTCATGAACGAGGTCGTTGATCTCCGTCGAGGCGACAGGGAGGGCCTGCCACCAAACACACAGGGACTTCCGCGTATCTGTTTGAGATAATAAAAGAGATGGCGGCTTCCTGGCTGCGGAGTCCATCGACTCCAAGCCAGGCATACAGACATTTATAAAGCAAGTGTGGCCGTTAGATGGCATCTCTGGGATTATTAGAGTGTTGGTGGTAGAAATATGGACAAATGTCTGAGGTAAATAATACTCCTGAGCCGCAGACGGAGGAACGATAGATGACGTCAGTTGAAATCGTAGCAGTGCAGATATGATTCGCCGTAGTATTTATACGGGAAAGCATATGGCCTTTCGCGGTTTGTATCAACTCCTCATTCATGCCTTCATTGACTGAAGTCCCCATGACGACCTTCGAACTCGATATCCCAACCTCCAAGCTTGCTATATATCTGCCTTTCTCCCGTCATGACACAGACTAGCTTCACCGGATAGGATCATTGCTATCTCGATGCGCACTCGCGGCCTTCGTTTTAATCTCAAAAGCTACGTAAACGCCTCCATGGCAAACCTCGACCCTCAAACGCCCCGCTCCAGCAAGTACCTGCCCTGGAGCCAAGACGATGTTCCCATCATCGACCCGAGAGAGAGCTTTTCAGACGTCGTCTTCAAATTGTCCTCATACATTGCCAAAGCCATCGATGCCGCCTACACTTACGAACAGCTTCGCACCACTAGCGCTGGCCAATCATTGAAACCTCTCATCACGTATTTAAGCGGAGATTGTCACCATCCTGCCATCGTTGCAGCTTTGCTGGCGGCGAGGTATCTCTTCACCAATGCTGATGAGGACTCAGACAGCGGTCTGAACGAGTCCAGAGCCCTCGCCTGTGAGCTTGTGGCGTGGCAGTTTCTGACCTTCTTGTCGGAGAAAGAGCTGATCGATTACCTTCTCTATGAACTACCCCAGGCATCAGATGACAACGCACAACCACCCCCGTCGGGCTCTCCTACTAACACTAATGGTGTCAGGAGCTGCCATTGCTATGTTGACGAAGATCGCACGGACGAAACTTCACCCCTCATACATGCCCAATCCGCCGAACACGGGGCGATTTTGCGGCCCCCCAAACGCGCCTCCTTCGATCACATCCCTGGGCCTGGTACATCAAGCACGTTCCTCGGTGGCGAGGACGATGCATCACGGAGAGCCAGCCTAGATGAATCCATGGCGGGCATGAACGCATTGGAAATCGCTGCCATCGCCGACGCCAAGAAATTCCTCTCACAAAAGCCTGTCCAGAAGATCGTCGAGGACATTTGGAATGGCGACGTTATCTTTTGGGAGAGTCTTTCGGTGCACGCCGTCAAGAAACCCCGAGTGTACAACAAGCGTGTGGCCGATCCCTTTACCCGCCTGAGGGTGCCCAAGTACCAAAAAGCGTTTCAAATTACCTTCTTCCTCTCGTTTCTGGCGCTTTATTATGCTGTTTTGGTCGAGAGGGATCCGAGCCATATTACAGCGACAGAAACAGTGTTATATATCTGGATCGCCGCCTTTGCCTATGATGAGTTGGGCGAGATCAAAGATGCCGGCCTCATGTTCTATCAGACGGACTTTTGGAGTTTGTGGGATATTGCGATCATCGGTGTTAGTGCGGCATTTGTGATTACACGTCTGTCTAGAGATTTCTCCCACATCTGGCACTGGTGGAACTGACAGCTCACTCAGGAATTGTTGGCCTCCTCAGAAAAAGCGACTATATCATCGACGTGGCCTTTGATATTTTGTCCATGGTGGCTTTGTTTCTTGTCCCAAGGTGAGCATCGGCGAAGAGGGTGGCCATATTACACATATTGACAAGGGCAGGATATTTTCCGTTATGAGCCTGAATCCATACTTTGGAAGCCTGGTAAGACATGTACCTCCATTTGATGATGGCAAACTGACGATGTGCGGCGAAGATTCCAGTGTTGAAGGAGATGGTATGCACCCCCTTCCGTCACGCTGGAGCATACACTGAGGCTACCACAGACAAAAGCATTCTGCAAGTTTCTGCCTGTGATCGTGGTGCTATATCTAGGATTCTTGACTACCTTCACGATGTTGGCCAGAGATCGGATGTCCCTCAACGAAATGTCTTGGATGTTGATCAAGGTGTTCTTTGGGTATGAAAATAGCACTGCCTCTCTGAACAATGACTGAATAGTCCACCAGATCGAGTTATCTTGGATTCGACATGGCTGTCAAGGTATGCAAACGGCCGACCACTGGATGGCGGTATTGACTGACTCCACCGGCTCAGATCTCGCCATTATTTGGATATACTTTGATGTATGCATACACTGCCTCTCCAACAGCTGCCACAGCCTCATTTCATCCCCCAACAGACTTAGATCTTGGTGCGGGCTCTGCGGTTTCGGCAGTGTCGATAGCAGACGTCCCCGGAGGTGCTTGGCGGAACTCAAGGCTGACTCCCAAATTTCGCAGGTTGATTTTTGTTTGCCTGACCAATATATTGCTCATCACATCGCTGGTATCATTGGTATCTAACTCCCTGACAGAGGTAAGTGTTGGCTGTGGTTCTGGTTATGTACTGGTTTGTCGCCACGGCCACGGCCATGGCCACCCAACGATCGACCCAATTAAGCGCCACGGACTCGGACTAAAGAAGCGCCGAACACTAATTCGCCTTTTGGTGCCAGGTCATGGCTCATGCGAGAGAAGAGTACTTGTTCCAATACTCCATCTACGTACTTGAGAGCAGCACCTCCCGACGGCTGACTTACTTCATGCCCCCGCTCAATCTATTCCCTCTGATTGTGCTGCGTCCGCTTCGACTTGTCTTACCCTCCGAGGAAGTTCGTCGAATCAGGATCTTCGTCCTAAAGGCCACTCACATACCCTTTGTGGCACTGATTTGGGCGTACGAGAACTCTAGGACCATGATCTCTCGCTCCCACCCTACATTCTCTCGAGCACCGCATTTCACTAGCCGTCCACTAAGTGCAGGCCGGCTCAGTCTTGAGGGGGCCCGAGATTTTGTCAAGTCACCGACGACGCGACGAGCGCTTAATGAGACATCTATCACCGTGACGCCCGACATGGCCGCCGGATCCACCACCAAGTCTGCCTTGGACGCCGGCACAACTGACAATGCAGAATTGATTGCTTTGGTTCAAAAGTTGAGTGAGCAAGTCGATGGGTTAACGGCGATGGTCGCTGGGCAGCAGAGGGACTGACCTCCTGACACATGCAATAAAACCATGCGCTAGTTGTGTGGAGATGCCTTCACGTCGATCAAAATTGTCTTTCATGAGACTGGCTAGCTTTATAAGCTCCTTTGTTACGACAATTCCGCGGGCGGGGAGGGCTCGGCTCACGCAATGGTGTCCAGAATTGCTCGCCGCTGAATGGCGAACCGTCGTTGCGTCAAAAGGCTAAGCAGCTAATGCTCCACCGCCGTCATTCGAAAGACAAGCTGTGGCAAGGGCATGGCTCAGAATCGGCCCCGCGGCTGAATCCTCTCTCGCATCGGCCAACCTATCGTATCGGTCTTGCCATTGCCGTTGCGCTAGATAGAGAGTTGCAATCTGACCGAAATCTCCGGGAATGCCTGGGCGGCTGCTTGGGCCGCAGCATATGCTCATGGCGCAATGCCGATGATCAAGCGATACAGTCGGCTCTTTGGAATGCAGGACAGGATAATAGAGACTCAAGAGGCTGGCGTTGGGTCGCCATGAGCTCCATGGAGCTGAGCAGTCACTTGGTTGTTATTAAGTCGAATACAATCTTAAACGGCTGCCATCCCGGCGGATGTGCCAAAGCTAGGATCCCGCTCCAGAGGCTTCTTGTGGACGTGTTTGTTCGCCATGGATATGCTCGGTCCATCTTTTGGCAATCACATGTTCCCTTCATTCGTTCCATCATGCATCGATCCCTCCTGCGCTGGCCCTCGCTTTGACTCAGGACCATCGACTTCCCATCCTGATCTATACGTTCCAGATCAGGAACAGGGTGCGGCAGCCGCATTCGGTATCGACAGCAATGGGCTTGATGGCTTCTGTGCCTTGAACAGCCGCGATGGACGCGTGTTTTCCCAGTCGTGGCAGGTGTGCTATCGGTCAGTGCCAGCTACAACGTTGCGGAACGCAGTAACCCAGCCACACATCACTCACACCGCTTCGAGCTTTGCTGCTTGGTCTCCAAGGTGTACCTCTACGACCTGTTACTCTTCTGAGGCGAGCCCTTCAGCAGGATGGGATGAGACAGGAGGGCACAACTACTCCACGCTAATGCCAGGTAAGTTGAGTTACTTGAAGGTTCAGACTGTTCCATTAGCACTGCTGCATTTGGTATTGTCTAGCTCTACAATGTACATCATCTTAACTCGCTGCATCGACCAGGACTTCTCGCACAATCGGATTATTCGCCTGCCGGAGAGACTGGGCACACGCCACCAGAAGAACCGAGATTGAAGAAGAAAAGAGTCAGGGTTCCTCCCGTCAACTGTCCTGTGTTTGACAAGATCTTGGACAAACCAGCCCTTCTGCGTGAACACATGCGGGAGCATAGTGATCAGGTCAAATGCTCGAGGTGTGATCAGACCTTTCCTGGGGCAGAAAATCTCGCCATACACATGAAGATGCACGAGGCAGGACGGCACGTATGCCAAAGCTGTTCCAAAGTGTTTTCCAAGAGGGCAAACTACCGAAGGCACCTCAAGTGTCACGATGAGAACCGCCCGAAGAACAAGTGTCCCAAAAAAGGATGCGACAAGGAATACGCGTTTGCAGGTTGCTTGAACCGACACATCAAATCGGTAAGATGACCATGGTCGACGACTTTACATCGCGCTTGGGCAAACATTGGGCTACAAGGCTAATTTGTGGGCTCTGCTAGCACTACGCAGACTACAGGTGTGGCGACTGTGACAAACAGTTCAATCGGGCGGATTTGAGAGACCGGTGAGTCTGCTGTCTCCCGCTTTATCGAGTCTCTCGCATTTGGAAATCGCCAATCACACCTGCATCTTGCCCGTGTTGAGAAGCTCCCCTTTGTCCCTATCACAGACCTCTGAATAAAGATCGCGTCCCGGAGTTTGTCGTTGCTGACTCGCTACAAGGCACCAAGGCAAGCACTGCCAAAAAGCTCGGGAACGAAGAGCAGCAGAGGAATCATCGTCGCTGCCACCTCCGGTTGGACGGCTAGAGCCATTGCAAGACTATCAGACACATGGCCTGACGCAACTGTGCATGCCTATGCAGATGCAAGTACAAGCACAGAATCTGGCCATGCACCAGCAACCTAACACCCTCACCCAAGGCCTGACGCCGGAGCACCCAAGCCAAGTCCCGATCTCGACGCCGGCAGGGGTATTACAAAAACCCACTGTGCGGATGGGGCAACAACTCTTTGTCTCTGGGAGCCGGGACGGGGGTTACACAGGGTATGGCATTTGAGGACGTGGGACACAAGTTTCCAGATCTCTTGACGACTTCAGTAATGATGGTTATGTTGTTCTTTTTTTTTTCTTCTTCTTCATCTCCATATTTCTCTTTGTCTAGTTATCATTTGTCGACGACGCTGATGATGTGACGAGGGTACATGTCCCCGCAAGCAAATACGGGCTCGTGGAAACAAGTGTCAGTGAGTGACGTCCAGAACAGGCCCAAAGTCGAGTCCAAGGACCAACATACGCACAAACTGTGGAAGAGGCAAAAAGGAATGATCGGGCAACGGGGAGCATGGAAATCCATTAATCGACTCGTATATATCGGTCCAATATTTACTGCTTTATTTCGACTAACTACATACATATTATATCCGTCCTCAACCTCTTTCTCGCTCATCTCTATCGTTTCCAGCGTCGCTCTCTTTAATATAGGCGCTGCGTCGACAAGGAGCCTAGAGTCGAGATTCTAGATGGTTGAGATTATCTATGACAGCATCTTTAGCCGTTTGTATAAGTGAGGAGGCGAAGAAGGAGATGGAGAAAGCTCTGCTCGTAAACTCCTCATGGCTATCCACCTATTTGCTAACTAAAGACCCGTCAAACCAACACCCAGTCGAGAGACCCATCTCGGCAGCAGCCGCCTCAAGGCCTTCTTGGACCTGTTTGTCCGCTTCGGTCCCCGCTTGTGCTGCAGTTGGACCGGGGCTCTCCGAGTCAAGGCACAATGACTGGAGCTGGAGTTGTGGTTGAGATTGTTGCGGCTGGACCAGCCTCGCAACGAGGACTTTGATATTCTCATACCTCGGATCCAACTTCTCCGTCGCCGTCTTCACTGTTCCTGGCGCATTTCTGATCCCAGCTACTTCCTCGATATTAATCCCATCGTTTCTCTTCGCTAGGTTGTGAGGGCCAACGGAATCCAAAGCGGTGGTGTCCTTGGTGGCGGTGATCTTGCGAAGGCGTTTCAACAGGTGAAAGTTGTGTCGCGCAAGTGCGGCTTTTATCGAGCCGTGTGTCGACGGAAAAGTGGAGAGGAGGGCCAGACCGAACCATGCTTCGGCTTCGGCTGGAAGAAGATGGGATTGGTGTGAAGACTGTTGCCCTGTATTGCTGGGCTGACTTATAGACTGTGTTAGTATGTAGGATATTGTATCCGCAATTGTGGTTCTTGATGCCAGATTTGGTGGTGACGTGGTTGACGGCGAGGGCCTTGTCTGAGACGGAATGATGGATTGAAAGATTGACTCGGCCTTTTTGTGATCCATACAACCTTCTTCGTCTTGTTCAGCTTCAATAACCGACTGCGTCGATTGCCTTGTAGACGAAAGTAGCGTCCGAAGTATTTCAATTGACAGTCTTCCTATCTCGGTCTTTGTTTCTGTTTGGCTTGTCGTTTCAAATATAGAAATCATCATGTGCATGATATTAGCATGGGACGAAGCTTCGCTGTCAAATGCCAAATCATGGATATATTCCATACGCCCCTTAATCATCAACCTCACGAGACTGATCGTGTCACACTGTATTTTGAGTTTGGAGGAATCAACTTGGCTCGTAGGTGAGGTGAGCAGTAGTGATATTGCCGAGATCATGTTGGTTTGGTGGAACGCATCTTGGCCATCAGGACAAAGTGATAGCCGCGTTGCCAAGCTGATAGCGGGAAGAAGGACTGCTGAACCAGGGGTCTTGGTGATCAGGCCGGACAAGGAATTTGCGACGTTCCGGGGTGAGGACTGAATAAGTTGCTGGGCGCGTTCTTTGGAAACGACGCTATTAGCTAGGAGGACGCAAATGCTGGCTAAGAGGTCGTGCGGCCTATCCACTTCAAGGGCATCAATGCAATTGCGGATGAGCGGTGATTGAGATCCGGAAATTTTTTCATACGCTCCTGTTGCCGATACACTGTAGATCGTCTTGAGGATCTCCTTTCGGTAGGTGGCTAGTGCGCGTTCATCTTCATCAGCCTCGATCTCGATTTCTAGGGCGTTCATGGTATAAGGTAAGTGAATCAGATTCCAGATCATGCGGAAGTCTCCTCCGACAATGTAGTGAGTGTCTGGCTGTGAGAGGACATTGAGGATGGCTTGACAAATTGAGACACGGCAGTCAAAATCCTCTTTCGCAAGCTCGACGCCGTACGTCAGCAATGAACGAACAACGTCGGCGATCGTGTCAACTTCGACTAAATCGTCCAGCCCATGCCCACCAACCTTATGCACGAAATTTTGGGTGCCATAGAGTGCAACTCTGCTGGCCATTTCGACCAGATCCGCCACCGTCGCTATAGGGCTATCTCTGTAATCCTTGGCTTCGAGCAAAATCTGAAAAGACGTCAATCTCTCGGGAGGGAACCAAAACGTGCCGAGCCTTTGCTCTGCGGTATTGACTGGCGGCCCCGAGCCTGCTTCTGCACCGTCCGCTGTCTTCTCTTGGAGTGAGACCCATGGCTCCCCTGCCGCATTCTTCGCGGGCTCGTCGTAGTCAACGCAGACGTTATAGAGGGTTGGGATTACAAGGTCGCATTCTCGCCCCTGTCTAACCATTTCTAGCATTGCTTCAATGCCATCGCGTTGAATGATAACGTTCCGATTGATATTGTTGTCTGCGCAACAATTGGCGATAATTCTGAGGGCAGACCTCAATTGTTCGGTTGTTGACGCCTGTGTCGTTGCAGAGACAATTCGCCTTGCAATCTCGAGAATACAGTCGGGAGGGCATGCCCTTCTGATCTCGTTGTCGTTGACAGCGCTATTTGGTTTAGCTTCAAGGCCAAATAGAAGCCGCCACGACGGTCCTTCTCGCGTCGAATCTGCAAGTGTGCAAAGGACAGCAGTCTTGAATTCTTCTGGCTGTCCTATTTGGATTACCTCATCCACATGGCCGACAAGAGCAGGCATAAGAGTCAGGACACCGCACTTTTCGTCTTCTAGATCAGACGAGGATCTTAACGCTGAAATCAAGGCCGAATGCTTGCGATTCAAGACCTGGTCATTAGACCAGTGTTGCTCTAGCGCATCTGCGAGTCGGGAGCATGCCTCACCAAGCGATGGGATTGCCATACTGCATTCGATTGTACCCGTGGGATCGGAAGGGTCGTCTGTTCCTATTGTTGGGTGAACACTTTGCGCCTGAGCTCTGAAGCCAGAACTACTCTGCCTGCTGTTAATAAGAGAGCCTCTAGCAAGCACTAAGATCAATGCATTGGATAGAGCGGGAGGTACCAACAGCTAGCACCTTTAAGGCTCCTTCAGTGACTCTTAGGCGCGAAATGAAATACCTAGAAGGTAAGGCTGAGATGTCGTTGGTTGGACGTTGCAATTGACTTGCGTACAAGGCTGAACGCCAAGATATTACGGCGGGCCATACCGCAAGACGCGACAAAGTGCACTTCACTCCTGACTATCCGTTTCAATATTGAGATTTACAGGGGACAACTCATCAACCCTAGAATTGTTGGAGCTGTATACCGGTGGACATCAAAGTCAACCTCTCGAGCTCTTCTGAAGGACGCCCTAGACCAACCACGTGTGCAAACCTGTACGATTTCCAACCATGGGACGCGCTGCACAAACCATTTCCTTTGCATTGTTGATTTCCTCAGTAGGTGTTTCTGGTCCGCTTCCCATGGGAGCATTTCTTAATGTTTGTTGCAGGCATACCTCCTCCTTGCCCTTCCACTCTTGACCGAGGATTCACCGGTGCCTTCCATCCTGCCGACCAAAATTCAGGTGGAAATCATACCAGTTCTCCCCTGTTGGGCCCTCGTTACTCTGGGCGCATATCTGCTAGGACGACTCGGCCTGGGCGTTCTACGATTCAACGATACAAAGGAAGCCTACACAGAACTTATGGGACAACTGGATGAGGCAAGGAAAAGTTTGGACACCAGGAAGATTCGTTGGGATTGAGCATGTATTTCCATCGCGGAGGTCACGACAGATTTACCTTGCGGGTGTCAACATACCCTCTACTCTATGCCAGAAACCGATGATCCTGCCAACGGCTTGATCTAGTTAACGCCGTAATTCTGGGCGAGTTGGTCGTGCTCATCGATGTCGGTGGCCTCCCAGGGATAACAGATCCACACATCAGGGACGGTGACCGCCGCCAGATACCGATTCTCATTGAGCATGTCTTCTGGAAGTTGGCCCTTCTTCTCCTTGTCCTTGTTGTGCAGTACAAAGATTGAGAATTTTGTCCTCTCGGATCTGCCTTGTTGTTGTCTGGCGATTTCCACGTCCTTTTCCAACTCCTTCACTGCATACTCGAGCGTAGTGCGGGTATCGTCAACTTCGTCGACGATCAAGACGTTCTTGCCGATCAGGTTCTTCATCTCAAGTGAGGATAGATCCAGCCATTGCGTCCGCGTGACTTTTGTGCCGGGCGCTTCGACAGGGTCGGACCCAGAGAGTTGTTCATAGAGCGAGAGGCCGATGGCCTGGATAGGAATATTAGGAGCACCGGGTCGTTTGAGGAATGATCTAATGGTTCATTCTGTCAGTTGGTGCTCACCTCCCTCCGCTCGATCCCCCAAATCGTGGCCCACCTCAGGATTCTCGCTGGTACGTATCCGCCTCCGCCGATGGCAATCATGAGATTGGGTTGGAAGTCATTCAGGATCTTCTCGGCCGATGTCTGGCAGAGTTTGTGGATCTGTTCACTGGCGTGAGTCCGTGGTCGGGAGAGGGTTGGCTTTGGAAGACGCTCGCATGCCGTTTGCGCTGGGGAGAATTGGAACAAACCTCATTGTACGTCACGTAGACCTTTTCCACCATTTTGGCCGTTGCACAACTGACAAGTTGATGGAGCGTTGAATGAGAGGACGTGCCGAAATTGGGCAAGAGAAATCTTTTGCAGGTCAAGGTGGGAGTCACATCTTTTCATAATCCATCCAGCCCGAACAAGGAAACGGGAGGCTCTCGGCCAAAAAAAAGTTCGCTGCACCAATTCTTGCGTTGCCTGCGACGCTGGAAGTCTCCGCAATTGCGACGAGGTGCTTTGTGCCTCACCGTACTGGGTATGCCAATGTGCTTGGCTTTTACGGTGGAGGAAGAGGCATATGATAGTATTTAGCCCTTCTTTTCCTACCCGATTCGTACCTGGCGAACTAATTTGGTAGTTACTCCGTCCATATATGTACAGTTCCTACAGGTAGTTAGGTAGGTCTCGTGGTGAGCAAACTATCAGGCGGTCTGCCGAGTCTCTTTCAAATCTTGAATTCAATTGGCGGATTTCTCAAAGCCAATGATCATTTCCTTCGAGTTGAGAAGCCACGCTGACCGGCACCCTTGATCATCCTAGGGGCCGCAGTATGCATTGCCACAGCCCGGATACTTGACCGGCACCTATTGCACAAGCAGGAATGGGAGCACTAACAGAACCCATGGATTACCCTAGCACTCGCTTAGATTGAATTGGGGTTTTTGGCGTATTTGCTCTCCCATATACATGACTTTCAATTCGTGAACACTTCTCGTCTGCCCTTGGATTAAGATTAAGATTGAAATTGCTGATCTAGACCGGCTGACTTGTCAGCATTGAACGAAGAACAGTCCTCTTCTTCGGGTGTTGAGTCTTCAATGCGCACTTGAACGGTCTCAGCCGTGTCCGCCATCAACCGCTCATGCGGGAGGAATTCCACGAGGAACCGGATGATGCAGTCGCACAAGCCCTCGGTCGTTGTTCCAGACGTTCTTTGGCTCAATGCCAAAACTCCCACCAACTTCAAATGGACCCCCGACTATGAGCAAAAGAGTATCATTGCTGTCCGAGCTCAACATTATTCAGCAAAAAGGCGGGTGGAACATGCTTCGTCACTGTTTGAGCTGCAAAAATATGGTCCACAGCTTCTGCCTGAACGAACCTCTTATGGGCGGGTAAGTGCAATCCAGCCTCGCATGTCCACACAAAGCTTAGCGTGCCGATGCAGAACCCTTTTGAAGCACAGGGAAAAGCGCCATCAGAAACCAGCCAGACAAAGGATACAGACGAGCACCATGTTCTTGAGGGAAAGAGGCGCAGACTCTTCCATCGCAAAGCCATCAAGAGGCCCCGTCAGTCACAACAACGTGCACACTCGACAAGAGCCATCGGAGTTTCGTCCGTCGGCAAGGGCGGGTCACTGTCAAAGCTTCTCCGGGGAGGAAACAGCGACCCATTTTCTTCGACACCTATTCCTCTATCCGCACTGAGGTATAGTGTAATATCAATAATCCAACCAATATCTTTGAGGACAATTTGGGCAGGTGAAGTTGGGACACCGAATGCGGTCAGAGTCTTGATACCTGCACAGAAGAGAGTTTACGAGACGGACTTGAACCACGAAGCCGTGATGCATGCTCTATTTGCGTACCGCTGGTCAGTCATGGGTCATCTGCATCCTCATAACAAGGACCTATATTACCGCTACGCACTTGACCATGAAGTCCGGGGCATCCGTGGGTTGCAGCCACTTGTCACATCGGAATCCGACACAAGTGAGGAGCTCAATGTTGCTGTGCGGGTCGTCCTGTTATTTTGCTGTGCATCCGTGTTCAGATCCCGCCTTGATGCACTCTTTTTGCACCTGAATGGGTTGAAGCAGCTCATCCAATCCATGGGAGGGGTTGACAGGCTTCACTGGATAAGAAAGGAGATCGCCACTATCTTGTTGTCAGGGCTGCTGCAACTACACCCACACATACAGTTCTCGACCCTTCAAGCTGGGATCCTGGATGGTGGTGGGATAGGGGTCATTGTGACCAGCCGGGAGATCTACTGACTGGTCAAGGAGAACTCCAGCCAGCTGGTCCCTGGGATATCACCCTTCTCAGCCTCGCCAAGACCGGACGACTTTCCCTGTACTTTCATGACCCTACGTGAACTGGTGGAGGTGCAGAATCTCAAGAAACGGATGGCTGACGACCGCCAAGGACAAATCAACAGGCTATTTCGCTGGTCTCAGCTTCGACGACCAGCAGTCAGAGCTCGGATCTTGAACTATTGGTGTGATCTAACAGAACCCACGAACGCTGTGGAACCTTGCCCGGGCAGTGCGACTCCTACGACGGTTCACCACGCATCGATCGAAATGTGTTTTTGTCTGGCTTTGCAGCTATTTATTGCTTTTGGTTCAGAAGCATCACTCCTGCGGCAATCTTGGCTCTCCACGATACAAGTCTGGCACGTTATGCTACTGAGGTGCGTGCGTAAGCTTGAATTTGACATTGACAATATTGGTCAGTCCCACCCGGGTGCATTGGACCTCTTGTGGGTCTACGGCATAGGAGCTTATGTGGAGCAGGCGTCCCTGACCCATATCCTTCGAAACAAGCCCACATTTTGGATACTGTATACTGCTGACCGAGTAGACGTTCGATGGTTTTCTGTTCGATTCGGAACTCTGGCCCGGAGATTTGGCTATCGACAGTATCTAGATGTGGCTCTGCTCTTTGAAAAGAGCTACGTCCACATCTCATCGCTGCAGGACCCAACCCTGAGCAAGATATTCAAATTTGACGGTTGAGAAAATCTTTCCGGGCGATGAAAGTCGTGAAGTCGGCCTCGCGACTCGATCGTGGCAACCACGGCCCGCTTGGAGCAAAGTGACAGTTCTTGCCTGCGACATCGGGCGCCCAGTGACTTCACCGAAGAGACGACGATTAGAAATCCACACTGATGTCGATCCACGGCCCGACGTCTGAATCTGGGTATGAAGCACCTGGCCGATTGCGGAATGAAGTCAAATCTCGCGAAAGGTCGATGTGCTATCTGCCCCCGCCTTTGCCCCTCAAAGGAAGAACATCTCGATTTCGGCGTCTTTACTTCCAGTACTATTTGATGCAAGATTGTGCGCCGACGAGCTAATGTCGAAGGGTGCGCAACAGCTGGCATTGCGCTTTATGGTATTTGTGGATTGTCGCCAGAATATCAGCTGGTCTGAGGTTTGCATGGCGTGGGTATTTTGTCAATACCAGTCATCCAGGCGATACCCGACTTGAAATGACTGAGCTCTGAGCCTTTCTCGGGTCGAGTCTTGCTTCGTTGTGGCCGGTGTGGTCTTGCAAATTCGACGAACGAAGCACTCTCGAAGATGATCGAGTATTTCCGGTCGAGAACTCGGGCAGAAGTACTTTTGAACACATCGACGTGCAATAAAAGCTCACGATCTCAATGCTCGCCAACTACCAGCTGATCAATGCCGTCAACCTCGTCCACGAACTCCAGATCATCGAAGGCTTTGTCAGCGTCTGCTTTGATGAGTTCCACCATCCCCTGCACAGGTTAGATACAAATCTCATGACATGCGGTCAATGCTGACCTCAGGCATGACCGGCTCGCCATAACTATCTTTGACATATCGGAAAGGCATCTCTGTGAATTCGTGCTCGTCCACCTTCAGCTCCGGAAAGTCGACATAAGGGATCTTATCGAGGGAAACTGTCATGGAGTATCAACACAAAGTCCTGGCGCGCATTTCGTCAACCTCCCTACTTTGGTCAAGGACAACCATCCGCGTAACTCTGATGGCCGTGTCTGTAGTCATCTGTACGGGACCAAGGCGGCGGCCGGAAAAGCCCTTCTTTCGCAACTCGCTGGTGCGATCTAGGACTATTAGATAACCTTCAACAGAAAGACAACAAATGGCAAGCTACCTCGGGGAGGGTCATCTCCTATAAGCCACTGTTAGGTATATTGCCCATGCATGATGTGATTGCTACATACCTAAAATGCCACCAAATAGAAAGACATCAAATTCCGCGGCATCGGTAGGATGCAGTTCTTGCTTGGCGGCTGGATCGAGCAGACAAATCTTGTCTTTCTTGCTCGAGAAATACGCCTCGATGCTTTCAGACCTAGCCCCTGCACCCAGTGTTACTAGATCCTTGAGATCTCGTGAGTCGAGGAGCGATTGAGGAAGAGAAGATAGGATGAAATGACAACCGGCTTGTCGTGATTCTTGTGCGATGGTCTTGTACTCCAGGGCGGACCAGGGGCCAAGTTCAGGGTCGAGATGCTCGACGACGAAGGTGTACTTGTTGCGGGACATTACTTTTCTGTGTCGCCTTCTGAGACAAAGGCGTCGATTGGCGAAGTCGAAGGCACTTGGAAGAATACTCTACCAACAGAAAAAAAAAGATCAATGGCCTCGTTGCGGTACTGGGCACGTGACAGGGCTCTGGGAGGTGGGGTTATCTCGGGGAAGGTTTACGCGAGGTCTTGGCACTGATGCAGCCAAACACTAACCGACGCAGCCAAGGCGACATGATTGGCAGCCGGCCTTTCGTCATCATCCGCTACACTTTGTCTCGACTGTCATAGTACGCACTCTTGACACACACCAAGCACGCACCCTCTCACTGCGCATCCTTGCGCAGCTCGATCCCAAGTGTCAGCTCCAGAACTCCAACTCGTCGACCGAGCCGGTGCACTCTTTCCGCATTTCCCCAGACAAAGTCGCTCCTCTCTATCTGGAAACTCAGTCCACGGCAACTTGTCCACAGAACCCCACCTTCACACACCCATACAAACTACTAGCGACTTCTTTTCTGCTCACCAACCCAAACCCAACTGCAGTCCTCCTGCATTGGCAAACCTGTGACACTTTCTGCACGCCTTCCCCTATCAACTTTTTTGCTCGTGCGAGGCTACGGAAGCATAAGCCGTCACCCTGTCCATCACATTGCTTGCCATCCCTCTCCGCTGAAACGACGACAAGGGCGCTCGGACCCCGTCCGTCGACGGAGGACCCCTCCTGCATCATCCCTCTGACTTGGTCACCAAACCTCACGAGACTGCTACTGTACCACCGACAATATCTGTCTCTGCGACGTCCACTCTGCTCTCTTCGAATACCTCCTCCCTCCTTCTACCTCCCCCAAATCCTTTTTCGGCGAAAGCAAAGAAGGCGTTTGAGTGATTGCACCTTCCTGCTGGCACTTGGATTGACAGGGGTCGCTCCCTTCCCAACCAGATACCCATAACAACTGTCAACATCCTCCGCAGTATCCAGAATCAAAAAGGCAACAAATACAAGAAGGGATTCCAATCATGAATCCACATCAGAAAAACAAGATCGACATCAGCGTAGGACACACCACACTCGTTCCAGATTTTGGGGGTCAATGAGACTGACAATACGCTTCTTCCATTAGAAACTGTCGGCAGACGAGCAACGTCTGTTCAGACTCTATGGCAAACTTCCCAACAAGAAAGATCTCCTACAGAACAAGTTGAAGGTAACCAATCTCTGGCTGGGATTTCCTGTCCCGAATCAGGAACACCATTCTGATTGAAACCTCTCTGTAGGAACGCAAGTACTTCGACTCTGGTGACTACGCGCTCTCCAAAGCGGGCAAGGCCTCCGATACGGGCGTCACCACAATCGGTACCGAACATCCCAAGGCCGAGGAGATCCCGCACATGTCTCCGCTCACCCATACCCTTTCACGCACCGATTCCATTGCCCCAGGAACGCCTGGCGGCCTGGCTACTTCTCCGGACGGGTTGGGCCATGCTGCACAACTGTCCCCAGTGGGCGGTGGAGGACCAGGCGGTATCCATAGGGGCAGTATCAACGGGATCCCCGGCGGCGGTTTGCCTGGTGCGACAAGCAGGAGCCCGGTCAAGGAGAGCAGCTTTTTGGCGAGAAGTGCGAGTATGGATGAAAATGGCGGAAATCAGCAACAAGGTAAGGAGAATATCATGGAGGGAAGTGTCAGTCCGCCAGTGCAGAAAGCAGGGATTCCGATTCGGAGATGATGTGCTTATGCACATCATGTTTTTGGGCCAACATCTTGTGGCGAATATGGTTGAGCACAAACAATTCTCTGCGGAGACACGGTGTTCAACGATGAGCGCGATACGGGAAGAAAAATTTGTGATAGTGAGGGATGATAACGACACCCACGACACTGCGCTGCATGGAAGGATCAGAAGACATCGGCGTCACTCACTCCGCCGATCGATGGATCGACCGAGGTCGGAGTATGGCTTCGATCATCCTTGATGCACTGAGTATGAGAACACTGCTCCCGAATTTGATATGGCGGCCAAGGAGGCAAAGCGCAACGCCAACATAAGTCCCCAACAGTCCTTACGGAACCCCGGGTCTTTTTCTACGTTGTGTTCGTGTTAGGATTACCTACGACTACGAGCCCCAACGGTCAAGTCTATGTAGGGGATCTTTGTCTTTGTTATCGGCATGGGACTGGGAGGATGGATGAAAGAAAATTGCGCCAAAGGGGAATTATTTTGCCAAAAACCAAAACAAGACAGGACAACGCAAGGATAAGAACTGAGTAACTATCTGTATGGATGGGAGGATGCTCGTCCCTGGCACAATGACTTGACTTGTGTACTCTTCCTTTTTCTCAAGAGCTTTTTTTTGTTTCCATCAAATTTACAATTCATTCTTTCCCCTTCCGACTTTTCCTCGCTCGGAATATACCGTAATTGAGTACTTGTGTACTTGCGACCCTCGATGGACTATAGTCCTATAGGTATGTACTAGGTGACCAACCACCTCTGAATGCGATATGGGAGTAAGTGATGGCTCGTGATCACCATCGCCACCATCACCGTGCAAGACGTACATTATGTTAGCTATAAGCTACTGCTCTGATCTCTGGACTTGCCCACCGATTGAGCGAAATTGATCTCATAGCTTTACTGATATAGTGTCGTATTGCTAGATTATGTGTGCAGAGGTATGAATCGCTGTTAGCTGCTATTCTCGATCGTCCAACAACCCATCCAATTGCCGGGTTCTGCTTCTGCCTGCCAATCCAACATCAGGACAGCATCCCATTCAGCCAAGGACGATAGATCTTCCCTGTTCCTTCAAGTTGGATCTCTTGTGATCGAGTTCCCGTTGCGCCGTGTTCGGTCTCCAGCTCTTGTTTTATCCTGGGATACCCTCCTTCCTCGAGAGGACGTTGAACTGCTCGCACGGCTAGAAAACTCCTGGATTGAAAATTCAGAAGGCCATCATTTGGTCAGCGACTGCACGGGCCCCTCCTCGTGGGATGCTCTCTACCTTGGTTCTCCGCCGGACCGTGTTGTGCCCTACCATTTTGCAGACAGAATTTTCACCCTCCCGCATCACATCTCGTCCTTCTCTCATATTGTGCCCGATGCTGTGGCCAACGCGTCTGCGATATGTGGCGCTCCATAGAGTTGTTCATTGGGGTCTTGAAAGTGAGCTGGGTAGTCAATTGTCACGGATTGAGCATTGATTCCTGAATATCTGGCCGATCTATCCGAGCCCGCGCATTTTCGCCTTTAACCCAAGCTGTCACAGTATGCTCGGAACTTCGCATGATTTTCGCATAGTCTCCCTCGTGACGATTTTGCAAAGCTGATCGAACTCTTTCCCACCCTGCCTTGTTCAATCAACCTTCCAATGTTCACCATTCATATCGTCTTCTTTGCCCAACCACAGCTCGATAGCATAGAGGGACATGGTTCCAACCAAATTGACCCATTTCCATAGATTGCCGTTCATCACTGGTTGACCGTTGCCGC